TGGTTAAATAAGGATTTTCTTCTGCACATGCATATAAATGTCTGTGGTCAGAATGCTGTTGCATGCATGTCAAAACTTAGTTTGACAACTAGTTAACAGCTACTATCTAGTAATTAATAGAAAAAATTGACTATTAAATAATTACAAATAGGTGATGGGATAGGATAATAACATGACAACGTGTAATATTCAATCACATTTCAGGTTATAGTATCAATATATATCTATATTTCAACAGTCATGGTACTTGTACATGTTATGTAACAAATAATCGAGATTTGAAATTGTTAAACTTCCATTGCTCTTTGAAGCATAAGTATTCCAACATTAAAATTTAGTAGATTACAATTCTTACTTTGATATAGATTGGTTGTTTGAACCTATGAGATCTTACTTTGATATAGATCAGTTGTTTAAACCTATGAGATCTTACTTTGATATAGATCGGTTGTTTAAACCTATGAGATTTTTATTTGATATAGATTGGTTGTTTAAACCTTTGAGATATCACTTTGATATAGATTGGTTGTTTAAACCTTTGAGATATCACTTTGATATAGATCGGTTGTTTAAACCTATGAGATTTTTATTTGATATAGATTGGTTGTTTAAACCTTTGAGATATCACTTTGATATAGATTGGTTGTTTAAACCTATGAGATCTTACTTTGATATAGATCGATTGTTTAAACCTTTGAGATCTTTATTTGATATAGATCGGTTGTTTAAACCTATGAGATCTTTCTTTGATATAGATTGGTTGTTTAAACCTTTGAGATCTTACTTGGATATAGATCGGTTGTTTAAATCTTTGAGATATTACTTTGATATAGATTGGTTGTCTATGTTCCAATACTAAATAAACTGTATACGATAGCTAACAACCCATCACCAGGTGATTTAAATACACAGTAATATCCACCATATCATTTTTTATTAAAGAAATATCTGATTTCTTAATTTTCTCACTGATATCAATTTATTGGGTAAATTTATAAATTTAAAACCTTAAAAATGGTCATAAAGCTTTAACAGAAAGAAA